AAGCAGGATATTCAAATGTATATTTTTAGACCATGGCTTAGAATTCTTTTGGATGATGCTACAGTAACACAGCCAAGGTTATTATAAAAGGGGTCATTGTCTTATTGAGCATAAGAAAAAGATATATAAAATTTAGAGTGCAGCCAAATATGAAGTGAAGAATGCTTGAAGCAACCAATATAATTTCTGAGAAATAAAGAGCATGCTATTTTATATCCACTATGAGACTCTCTCTGTTTTGGGCAAGCAGTTGCATGCATGCTAACATCACGAGTCGAAATTATGGTTGGAACAAGTCAAACATAAACTGTAAGAAACACTTTATATTAACATTGAATGGGTTGAGAATAAACATAGTGGAAGAAGAACATACCTATTTTCTTGCTATAATAAATGAAAAATCAAATATTTATCCACAGTGGTGCATCTTTTCCTGGAAATAACTAGACTGAAATGATGTAAGAAACTATAGTACTCCACCAGGTACAGTAAAATAGCAGCTGGATAGTTCTCAGTTACTGGAATGCTAAGCAAAGGTTCTGTCTACAAAGTCCTTTCAGAGCAAGAAAAATAATTATAATGCAACAAGACTCTTCTGCTTTCAATTAACAGTTAAGACTTCCAAGTTTTGCCACACCACATACACTTCTCCATGATTTTATTATGTACTGCTAGAGTGCAAGGTTCATACTTTCCTATATCAATTTTTCAGTGAATGTGGATGCTACTTACAACCACCTCACAGATATACTATTTTTGTATGAACCTTTTAATGAGCTATTCCAAAATAGTAAAATTAAATCTGCATATGTCCAGGGAACATAATGCAGCATTTAATTGAGCCTGTCAATGGATTACAAATTTATTTCAGAGGAACAGGTACATCTATGCCAACTTGTAAGCATTCTGAGAATCACTTGTTCATATAAATGTTGAGACTGTTTCTTCCCCAGTCTCCTATTCCTCTACTCAGTTGAAAATGAAAGGATTAGCTGTTGAACAGAAACATGCATGAATTGCCTAGAAGAGAAGGAAAAAGGACTTAATAGAGGTGGATCCAATCCCAGTTGCAGTAGTTGGCCTATGCTTAGTTTGAATTTTTAGGTGTTCCCACAGCTAGGGAGATTTGTCTTCCTGAAATGAGTCATGCAAAAACATTAAATGAGAAGGATATTTAGATTTTAGAATGCACCCCTTTCAATTAAGCAGTACACACTGTCATCAAAAATGTCAAAACAAAATAGTATTAATGCTTTCAACTGAGCTTTCTTATATTGTTTTGTTATGACCTTTAAAATACCAGTGGTTTATTTAGCTACTGAAACTACTTGCTGACGAAATGAGGCAAAGACATGTACCACTTCTTTTCTGGAAGACGCACTATACATTTTTGTTCAGATCTGAAGCACTAGTGACCAATACTTGCAAAAGATGGCTGCTTTTTTTTGGTTTTCTGCTGTTCCAAGAAGCAACTGCCTGTTCACCGGAGCAGCATGGTTGCTCTGAAGGAGCACCGTAGCTCCCTGCTACCCTACTCTGCACCACTGTTCCAGTGCCCCATCCACACAGTCCCCTGCGCTGCTGCGCATGTGTCTGCTCTGCACAAGACTTGCACAGTCTGCGAGGAGCTGCCTTCAGCAGCCAGCCGCACAGAGGGATCTGCATCTGCCATGCGAAGGACGGAGGAATCGTGTCCTGCTGGAATCGCTTCCCTGTGGGAGAGTGTGTGGGAGCTTTCTCCCTCGGAAAGTTTTTCGGCTGGTGAGAAGGAATGCGGTTGCTGTGCAGCTCAACGACAGCCCTCAGGAATGCCAGGAACAAGCTAGGGTGGGAATGAGAGGAGGTGACCTGGGCTTCACTGGTGAAGCCTCTGCACAGCCAGTGTGCTCTCCGTGTGTAAAGCTGCCTTTGCTAGGGGAGAATGCTGTCCCCTGAGTAGAACGAATATGCTGGTCCCCTTTCATTGCGCAGCTCCTACAAAGGACAGTGGCCAGACTGGCGCACCAAGCATGGCTGTTTTTGTGGTCGCTGTTGCCGAAGCTTGCTGCCGATATTCCGGAGCTGTGGCTGGGCATCAGGAAGGCAGTGTGCAGAAAAAGCAGTGTGAGGGCAGAGAAAAATGGAGGCTGAAGTGTCCCCTGCCATGGCAGCCACTCTTGCTGCCAAACTCGATGGCAGAAATGTGGAAACATGGGAAAGCACTGCAACTGCATTCACGGATGGTGGCAAGGAATGGCAGAGCAGCGAAGCCTTACCATAGACTGTTCCATGGTGATTCATGGAAGCCAGATGTGCCACGCATCATCGTGGATGCTGAATTCACACATAATGGCAAGCCATGCCTGCTTGGTGTTCAGCATGGCTTGCTGCTGTGTGTGAATGCAGCCCATACCTGGTGTGCATGGCAATCATTACTCTCTCCAAGCAGATCTGTTCATTAACTGATTTCATTCCCCCGATGTCTCACATTATGCTAGTCTGAGTGCCCCAAACTAAGCAGTGCCACTAGGAGTCTATTTAAATAGCCTGGTTTACTATCCCAAGAGACTGGTAACCTAAGAAAGCTGTCATCACCTGCCCCTTCCTATTATATAGTCCCCACTGTTTCTTTGGTCTTCATGCTGTAGTGTTTTAACACTTGTCATCTCCTGGAGTGCTACAGAATAGATTCTGAGAATAAATGTGAGAAGACAGGCGGGTTTGATGTGTTAGCTAGTCATGTCACAAAGGGTGCCCTTTGAAATGAAGTTATTTTAGTCTATGTAATTCCTAGAAGGAATACATAAGTTTGGGAGGGTTTTTACCAGGTCAGTGTTTACAGATTCACTAAACACATTTCACTCATGTTCCCTCCTGATTCTTTTCCACAATGGGAGAGGATCTAGAAGGAAAAAGTGGATCCATCCACTTGCTTGCTCAGATGTGGGACATTACAGGAAGCTACTAGGGCCATCTTACAGCAAAGGCATAGTGGGAAAGCCTGTCAAGAAGTCTGCATGGAATGAAATTCATTTTGCCTCCATAAAAAGGTAAACCTACTCTGCTTATATCAACTTTACCTGAAGACCTAATGTCTGTAAGCATCTAAACCAACATGAAAGAGACTACTCAAGTTCAAGCCGGGATAGATTTCACTATCCAATTTGTTTACGTGGTAGGTGGGGTTGCAAACTACACTAAACCCCCTTCTGTTTAACCAGGAGTACTCTTGTGGTATTTACGCAAAATCATTTATCATTTTTCGAAGCACAATGTACACAGTGCTCTTTCTACTGTGTTGAAAACATGACCTGGGATCATACACAAATGCCATTTTCAGCTGTAGCAGAAGTAGAAAGTGTTTGAAAGATGATGCATGAAGGGACATTAAAAAAACTGAAAAAGTTTTGCTCCCTAAAATGTAACAGGTATGCATAAGAAGTTCAAAGGAATGGAGGTGCTTTTCAAAGGGGGGCACTGACTCTTCCTGCTCTTTCACAAAAAATCATAGAGGAGAAGGGTATGGGGAAAGAAGAGAGGAAGCCTGTGGCATCGCTTCCGGCCATTTTCCCCTCTTCCACAGGGTGAAGGCAGCAGGATCAGTGCCCTCATTCCTGTCTATCCAAAAACAATTCCTGCAGCCAAGTGGAGTCCCCTTCCAGGCAGGCTGTTCTTCTCAACAGCAAGCACCACTAAAGATAACAAGAGTTACTTCTGACTAGGCAAGCAGTTGTATTTTGTAGGGGAGAGGGTGAGGGAGCAGAAGCAAGGAATTTACTCTCCAGTGACTGGACAAGTCAGATTGAGAGATGATGTACTGGGCGGTTTGAAGGAGGCAGGAAAGCAGATGAGGGCAGAATGGGGTCATCCCTTTGTCAGAGTCACTGCTGTTTGTTGAACTCCAATTGGACACGCCTTCTTGGAGCACCACTCTTCCTGCCCTGTGGAATACCCACAGAACAGGATCCCAACCTTATCGTTAGCCCATGTAACGCATGGGGTGGCATACCTACCTTGGAAAACGCAATATTAAAAAATATCACGCTGTAACTGGTTTGAAGAAAGCTTGGATATAATGGCAGAAATAGCCATTGGGGGGTGACAGTCATGTGACATGCCAGTGAGCCAGCATTGCAAAAAGGCGTCATGTGGATCACCCATGGTCTAAAGGAGTCAGAAGCAGCAAGTATGAAGAATTCCCGGGAGGATAAAAGGGAAAAGCAGCCATATAAACTGTAGCAAAGTGTGGACTCCCACACACGTTCCTAACAAGAAGAGTGTAACCTGTGAATGTCCCAAGATGATCAGCTTATGGGCATGCTCAAATACTCATCCGCAGAAGAACCAAAAAGAGCCCTAAGCTAGCAACAGCTGCAATTATTAGTTGTGTAAGGAAACCCCTTTGTTTAACAAAGGAGGATAGTTTATGAGCTTCTAAGTGTTTTTCTGCATACAGTCAAGTAATAGGACTTATGAAACATGATCTAGAAATCATGCAGCCTCCTCCTCCCTTATGTCATTTGCACCTCCTTACTAGCCCTCAAGAACTGAACCAAAGGCTTGGTATGAAAGGGAAGACAGCTGCGAACCAGTGGTTGCAGGCAGGCAGAATTAGGAGAAAGGCACTCTGAATGGGAACACTCAAGACACATCTGTGTGCAGACGCCTACATATGCCGTGGCGTACAGAGCAGAATGTTTGTTTTGGACAAGTTGCCTGGCAATAGAAGGCATTCACTTTATAAAATAAACTTCTGAAATGCTTGTTAAAAAACACAATTGTGTGAGCACTGAAGGGAACATTTTTCAACTCACTGTGAAGCATAAAGGGGAAGGGTGGGGGTGGGCTCGAGGGCTGGCTATGCGCATTGTTTGGGGCGGCGTGGGTTGATCGCGAATCAAGTCACTGCAGTGTGCTCACATGCTCAGAGAGAGGAATAATGCTGAGAGGTTTATTTAAGCGGCTGGACATAACGAGCAGTTGACAAAGGAGAAACCCCACAAAGAAAACGAAGGCATAATCACAGTCAGGGAGGCAATCAGTTTTTCAAGTTTCTTCATGTTCAGCGCACACTTTCAGCGACGACCAGCCGTTTTACTGACAGCACATTTTCTCTAGTGACTATTCCAGAATGGCTCACCAAAGCAAAGAGATTTTGTGCAAGTGAGGTTTTGGCCAGTGCTGCTTTTTAAAGGTCCCTAAAGGACCAATCTAGGGAAAGCATAAACTGAGAGTTTTCTTTGTGTTACAGGCATTTCTTTTCGTAGCACCTTAATAACTGATGGACTTTTGGTGTATGCATATCGGAATGGAGAAAGAGATGCAAATAGGCATCTTGGTGGTAACTTCACGCTGGCCTAATGGTATTATCTTGATGCTGCTCCTACTGCCTTAACCTAGTTTGCTGATTGTGCTATTACTTTTAATTGACAGTTCAAAATTTCTATCTCAATAGTTTTATTGCTGCATCCTTAATATTGCTGCTTATTGCTTTATTGCTCATACCACAGAGGCCTTTTGAAAGAAATATGCATCCAGAAATAACCCTGCATAGATGCATTAAAGGAGCAGACACATAAATAACCAGAATCTTTCAAAGCTGGCATAATATAAATCCACAAAAAGCATTTGCTTATATAACTTTTGCATATTTGTGCTGTATGCATGTCTTTCTTATTTCCCTTTCCTAGCAGATCAAGGTGAGAGGCTTCTAACTACATTCCTTTATTGAGTCAGGCATTACTTTGTAATGCAAAGTAATATATAAGTCATTAACAAAAACCATCTTTCAAGTTAATGATCCCTCTAATTGTGGAGTTTGATCCTGCCCATACCAGGGAGTTGACCCCAAACTGAATTCTCCCCTTCCCTTGTCCTACAGACAAAGTTGACTTCACTCTGAGCAAGAGGGGACAGACAGTGAGAATACCAGATGTTACTTAATTGGTCCACTCATTTGACTTAATGAAGAAGCACTAAGCTGATGACTCCCTGACCCTCCCTGTTCAAGAACCTCCCACCCCCCCCAAAATATCCTAGAGGTGGTCTGGTTCTCACCAGCCAATTGACTTATCTCACAACTACTTAACCTTGGCATTAAGCTACCATTCCAACCCCACCTCCTCTTCCAGTTCAGATTCCGAGACTGAAATCTCTACCTTGGAATGTTGCATTTTGGGGGAAATGGGCCCAATCCATACAATTGCTCTGTTTTTATGTGGTAAGATAGGGCAGCAAGTACAAAGGAGAAAGAGACACTGCTGGTGACATTAATGGCCTGGCTATTTCATCGACGTAACCTCATTGCAGAAGGTTATAAGCTGCTGCTACCACCAAAAAGAATGATGGAAGGAGACACAGCATCTATTCTAACATTCCATTTAGTCTGGGAAGAGTGAGGCTAACTGGGTAATACTCTAAGAATGCCATGGAGGGCATCTCAGGTGTGAAGGGGAATGGAAGGCTGTTTTGGGGGAGGGGGACTTATTAATGTTGATGAGGTTTTCATGTAGTTACATGTTGATATCTGCACAGAGTTCCTATTGAAATGCTTTTTATGAATTGATTTTTTAAACATTAAAGTTTATACATTTTAAATTGCTATTGAAATTACTAATGTATGCCTGTTATTGTTATTTAGTTGCATTTTGTACACTATATATTGTAGCAAATATTGGCACTCTGACGATGATTTCCTTTGGAAAAAGTGGAAAAAACCCTACTCCATTCTAATGCAATTTCTTAAAATAGGCTAATACTCTATAATTCATTTTACACGTAAACTTGAATTATACATCTCTCAAAAGTATTTCTTCCTTTCTTCACAAAAGCTTGTTTTCACTGGGCCCTGTCTGATTCCTGGAGAACACTCTCCATTTTGATGCTCTATCCTTTCAACTTAAAGACTAATATCATTCATTTCAAACACACAACCATACTAACAGTTCAATCAATCATGACTAATTAATGCAAAGTTAATTGTGCAAGGACTCATTTCAATGTGACTCAGGCTTGTTTTACTTTCTAAAAATGAAGTTTTTCTCCTCAGTTACATTGGAAATACAATGATTTCTATATCTCTACGTAAAATTCCAGAGATTGAATACCAGGGAGACAATATGATTTAAAAGAAATTTATATTGATTGTCTTAATTTTCTGGAAGTAGCATGGCTGGTGTTACGGATATGTTAGCAACCATAAGAAGGCAAGATAGCAGCAGGGATATAAAATTTTTGCACCTTCGTATTTCTTTGTTTGCTAAGTTTTTCCAAGAGGTCACTGCTATTTTGATAAATTTTACTAAAGACTGGTGAATAATTTCAAAGTTCCCTTCCTTTGAAGAAGGGCCACCTACATCCTGGACAGGCAACTGTAATGTTAGGGTTTACATAGTTCAAAAACCTTCATAAATAGTACATTTATTCCATAGTTAGGCCTTGCCCAGGTGTTTTAGACTACAATTCCCATAGGTCTGAGCAAGGGATGATGAAAGTTGCACTCCAAAAGTATGAAGACATCACATCACAGAAAGCTGCCATCATTTTTAACAATGCCATGAACCCTTAAGTGTGATTTTCAACAATTATTTATTTATAAATAAATTACCTAGGTTATAAGTAAATAATTCTTACAAAAAGATGAACTGCAGAGTGTATGTGTTTTAACTTTGATTGTTTTTATAATATACCATAAATTCAATCTATATAAAAACTTATGCTTACTGTACCTTTATCTTTGTTTTTTTCTTTTCCAAGGGAATCCAGTTTCTTTCGTAAGGATTTCTTCCTCTTTTGACCATCTACAAACAGAAACAATTATTTTTTTTAAAGTGGGGTGGGAGGAGAATGAGAGAGAGAGAGAGAGAGAGAGAGAGAGAGAGAGAGAGAGAGAGAGAGAAAGTATGACATAATTGACAGTGGATCAGAAAAATCTTATTCCCTGAACTCCTTGTAAACATATACATTACAGGATGTTGGTGTAAGAGCTGTACATATGCAAAGATAGATTATCTTTAATCTGCCAAGTGAGACTATATCTTCATGCATTTGATGGAGTGGGAAAGTTCATGCCACAATATATTTTCTCTCTGTTTGCAGCAGCTCAATCTGCACTGTTTAAAAGCCACAAGTGTCTTTGCTCTCTAGGTTAAAGTAGAAAAAAATGCAATTTGTATCAACAATTCAAAATGAGTTACATAAGCATGTGAGACTTGGTTGTGCTTGTGCATGAAGGAATGTTAAAGAAGTTTTCCCATTCAGCCATTTAACTCCTAGAATCAACTCGTATCCTACAGAATGGCTAATCTAGTTTTTTACAGGATTGAAATTCAAGACAACACTCCAAAAAGACAAATGTGGGCACTGGAGTTATCAGCAATAGACAGCCACTGTCCCTTGTGGTGAAATAGGTCAGGGCTGTTTCTCATTAAGAACCTACAGACAAAGTCTGCCTAAACTGATCACTCTGAATGGAAAGAAAGATCAACAACAAGTGGGCTTCCTGTCAATACAATTTTGCTCGAGCAACAAACTCCGGTGTAGTTTGTATTTCTGGACCTGCTTTTCTGTTTTGATTCTTGACAAGTTCTCAGGTGCTATATACCAATTTGCTTTCTGGTCCAGACTGCTCTTTGCTCTGGACTCTTGGTTCCAGTCGCACTCCATACCGCTGCCCTGGTCCAGCTGACAGGCAGCAGAAAACTTTGACTGTTCTTGGTAAAAATGGACAGTTGTAGCATAAACTATGTATTATAACTATATAGCAAGACCCAGTGTGAACTTTTACTTCTTCCAATGTTCTGGAAGGACAAATCTCTATGTCAGATTTTCTATGAAGTCTTTTGACTGGCTTCTCCATAGCTAAAGGGGCAACCCCATTGCAATGGCCAGTGGAGTCCCTTGTTATTCTGGAGAAGTGTTGAAGTCACCTGTGTAACTTCTTTGAGGATATGGTCTTGTTCATTTCACACCCAAGCACTACACTGGTCAAATCAGGGTCACAAATAGGTCATGCACTGCTATACAGTACAATGTTACACAGCAAATTAACAGCGCACAAGACTCTCTCTCTGTGCTGTAAATGGCTCAAGAAATGTCCCAAACATGGTGGAAGACCATCACAAAGACTATGAAGCAAACTGGCAAGGTAAAATGTCTTCCTTCTTCCTTCTGTTTGGCCAGAGTAACACTTTGGACCAAGGTCCACCAGACTACCAAACTATGTTGCCATCTACCACTGAAACTGGGAAGGATAGGGAGTATAAGCACAGAAAGTCTTTGTAAAGTTAATAAGCATGCTAAGGTATGTGCATACAACTTTAAGTCTAACCACAATGGAATAAATCCCAATTCACTCCCAACTAAACGTATTTGTTCTAAGGTGTCTCACGGCCTCCCAGTAAAAGTTTCCACAGGTTTCTTTCAAATATAATACACTAAAGCAGGAAAGAAAGGTTTCTTCTTGCATCAGCTGAAAACAAAAGAGAGCTGCTATCACTTCCTGCAGAATTTTGTTCAGTAAACGACTGCCACAAAAAAGGTATTTTAGTTTCAGCCCGTGAATTAACACAACTGAATAATTTAAATGCACTACCTGCTTTAACAAGTCACTTAATTTTTGAAATATAATACACCAAGACCTATTTTGTATAATATGCCACATTTTGTAAGTAATTAATCAGGTTTGTTCTTGTTCTGATGTTACAACACTATTGTATAATACAATAGTACATTTAGGTTAACAGCATTTTATTGGAATGGCAGGGTGGCTTCCTTACTGTTTGCCTGGCTCTACCCATGAAAACTGCCCATGAAGTGGTGGACCTGCATCTAGGCTGCACCACCTTTACAGACTGCACATGAGAATCCACATGTTTGAGTCTTCTCTTATGTGAAAAGAAATGATCTGAACATTCAGAACCCAACATTCATGACATTTTCTAAGAGCACGCCTCAGATCGTCAAGAGCAACCGAACAGCTATACCAATGTGTCAGACTGACTGTTATGTGAAAAGTTCACAAACAGTACATGCTGGTGAAAGTTACCCCCTTTCTTTGTCCCCAGCATCAGACAATCAGGAGAGGATCTTCATGCCTATGAACAGAACTGCACTGTAACGGCAAGAACCCATGTTTATCTTCTGTATCCCAGGCATGGAAAAAGCAGCGATAAATGCATAGATATGTAATAATAAATGCAGAACAAGTGGCAGGAGCTTCCTGAAGACTTTCCACTGTACCCTGTCTCCCTGCTAACCTCCGAATGTTTTGATACATTTGAACAGGAAATGTAGTCTATGAGACAGCCTAGAAAAAGGCAATGTCAAGAAAAGGAGCAGATGATAGAAATATTAAGCAACTTCCCCTGCCTGCACCTTCTTGACTGCATATCCTCTTACAGCCACTTTGAATGGAGGGCTAAATAGTGGATTGTCCTAACTGGCATAAACAAATCGCTGCTGATGGACCAAGGGCAGAGTCCTCTGCAAGTTTGGACAGAAAAAAAAGTCTGCAGCTACTAGCATGTAAGCCTTTTTCTATCTAAACTTGCACAGTATTGCACTTTTATTCAGATTTGTGATACAGCCATTAGGATTAAACTAACATTATGTACAGTCTAGGCTAAAAATCAGGTCTAGCTTTTTTTGAAAACTGAATGGAATTTCTCACATTTTGGAGTGATTAGTTCCGGGAGAAAGTATGTCCTACATTTTTAAAACTGTATGGTTATTTTATGAGTATGTTTGTATATATGCACCTCTCTCTCTCTCTCTCTCTCTCTCTCTCTCTCCGTGTGTGTGTGTGTGTGTGTGTGTAATAAGACTGTATTCATTGTGTTATATATATTTGTGAATAAGTAAGAATAACTATTTTCACAGCTTTTACTGTTTTGATAACTTTTGCATAGACTACAATGCTAATTTTATATGTTTGGATTATTTTTGTACCTAGTTCTGCCCTAAATGACATGGGCAAGTAGCCAGTCACAGCTGTCTCATTTCCTGTTTAGACAAGGGAAAGTTTACTTTATCAGAACTTTCTATAGATCATGATCTGGGAGAAAAACAATATTAGTTGAGCTATATTCTCCTGTATTAGGACAATTTCGGTTGCTGAATTGATATATAAACCTGGTCATGCTAACAACTCACAATTTACTAACCACAAACAACTCAGAAAGTGAACTTGTTGCTGCCATGAGATTTATTTATTTATTTATTTATTTATTTAGTAAGCTTCTATGCCGCCCCATTCGCCGAAGCCTCAGGGCGGCTTACAACAATAAATAAATACATATTAAACATATAAAAACAATATAATTGGAGAAGTCCTGGCTGAAGATATAAAATCAATAAATAAAGCTAACAACTAAAATGATGTTTAAATAAAAAGGTCTTGGCCTGGCGCCGAAGAACAAATAATGACGGCGCCAGGCGGACCTCTCTGGGGAGCTCATTCCATAGATGGGGCGCCACCGCAGAGGAAGCCCTCCTCCGGGTACTTACCCTCCTAATATCCTTCAAGGAGGGGTCCCGGAGAAGGGCCTCTCCCACTGATCTCAAGGAATTCTGGTTGTTTGACCAGGCATTGCTGTTATGTGTGAATCCAGAATTGAAGCTGTTCATGCAGTTGTTCTACCAGGCAACAGAGTGGTCAAATAATCCAGCTGCTTTATATTGCAGTGACATATTTGAGATACAGGGAGGGAACAGGAGAAGAAGGTGGGAAATGACCAGAAGATGACCAGAATGTTTGATCAGTTGCCATATATGTTATAGCAGTTATATGCTAACCAGGGCTTTATAGTCAGCAATAAGCACTAGCCCTGGGGCAATCTCAACTTCTTTCCTTTTAGATGACATGTACATCAGTTCCAGCCAGCATTGATCAAGAAGGTGGATCTACAGCTATTGTTCTCTGTAAGATGCAGAAGGAACAAATGTCCTAATACACATGCTAAATAACACTGGGGACAGGATGGTATCCTGTGGAACCCCACTGCTCAATTGCCAGGAGATTGATGAAAAGTCACCCAATGTTACTCTTAGGAACTGACTCTACAGAGAACTTCTCCTGCCCTGATAAGATCATCCATCAGTGCAACCAAGGCCGATTCAGTCCCATAACGAGGTTGAAAGCCAGACTGAAATGGGTCTTAGATGATCTCCCCCATCCCCCTCAAGAGTATTTGCTCTGTTACTAGCCACTAGGAAAACCCAAGAACATTCAGAAATCCATATAATTCTGCTAGTAGACTGATCAAATGGGTTATTTGGACATCATCCACCACATTTCTTTCATGACCTGGAGAACAGACTAAAACAAGGGTATGCCCTGTTTCATGTGTTGGACTGAGGACAAACTCAGACAGCCCTACAGATATTACAGAGGCCATAAAGTCTTGCTCTGGCAGAGACAGCCTCAGCATGGAAACTGAAGCCACCCAGAATCACAGCCCTGGTGTCATCCAACACCACACTTGACTCCACCTCTGCCAGCATGGTTAGGAAGGATGCTGGGCAGCAGAGTCTGTCGTACATCACCGGGATTCCAAGTTTTCCTCTGTGTCCCAACAGCAGGTGCTTAAGGTCTGTTACAAGGCAGAGTGATCAGTTGGTGACTGAAGGAAGTCCAGTGAATCACAGATACTCCTCCTCTCTGGTCCTCCAGCCTGTGCTGGTGCTGAACTGAATTGATCAGCTTCACCCACCCAAGTCTCAGTAATACATGCCAAATTGGCTTTCGCATGCATGATTAATTCGTGAATTAGTACAGTCTTAATGCAGGCTGTAAGACCAG